GGAGCTCTCTTCGGAGCTCGTGCCCGCTCTGCGTGCTTTTGGTGCGCAGTACTACTGGGCGCTGTGCGGAACGGGCCGGCAGCAACTTCGGCGATGCGGGGCCGTCGCCTATGGTGGCAGCGAGCCCCGCTGGGCGACGATCCCGCGGAGGCCAGAGCAGACACCGCTGCCGCCCGGCCCTTCGTTCGCCGCCGTCAGCTTGTGGGATCGGCTTGCTGCTCGCTTCGTGGCGCGGCGATGCGTCGCTGATTCGCCTGCCGACTGCCTGCCACGCCCAGCGAAGCACGAGCATTTGATTGCGCTGCAGCTGCCGCTGAGCGACGCGATGCGCGTGCTGGCGCACACACGCGCGGGCGAGCTCGAGCTGGCAGTGCGCGTCGCAAATGGCACCCCTGTGCCCCCCGTCAAGCCTCAGCAGCCGGCGAGGTCGCACGAGGAGCAGGAGCGCGAGCGGCGACGGGCCGTTTTGACCAACGAGCCGGCTGAGGGAGTCCCCAGCCCGCGCACGCCCCTCGAGGCGGAGCTCTCGAGGTCACTGCCCCCGGGTTGGAGCGCCCACGTGTCACGCAACATCAGGCCTGGCGAGGTGTACTACCAACGCGGCGATTACTGGCAGTGGGCGTCCGATCGCGGTAGGCCAGATCCCGAGCAGCCCGCCGCGCGCCTGGCACTTGAGCAGACGGACGCGGCAGTTGCCGTCCGTGAGGAGGAGGAGCGGCGCAAGGAGGTTTCTGCGGTGTCGGAGCTCGAGAAGCAGGCGGCGGCGGCGGCAAACCGATCCGCGAGTCAGGACTTTGACGCGGTCGCCGACGGCACATATGGCAAGCAGCTCGACGTTGCCCGCCACAGCGTTGAGCTGCTGTGCCAGGACGCCGAGGCGTGGCACAGCTCGTTTCTCGCTCAGTTCGGGCTGCGCTGCGCGTGCGACAGCTCCTCTGGCCGCCGCTGGTGCTGCAGCGGCATAGTCGACGCGCAACGTGGAACGCGCCTCGATGTGGCGCCCGCCGAGGCGTGGGCGGCGGAGGCGCCGGGCGCTCTGCGCCGGACATTGACGCTCACTGGCGAGATCCTGCCGCCCCCGCCCGAGCTGCTGGCAGCGGCGGCGGCAGTCACCGCCGCGGCCAAGCGGGTGAGAGAGGCCGACTCCAAAGGAGAGGATCGTGAGTCGGCGGAGCTCGCGCTGCAGGCTCAGGTGAGTGAGGCGCTCGCGGCGCACGACCATTTCCAAGGCGTCGACACCAGCGCGCGTGACCAGCTAAAGGAGGAGCTTGATCGCGTCGCCAAGTTCGAGAAGCACCTGCGGTGGGCGGAGCGCGCCAAGGACGTGCTGTTCGACACGACTGCGACGTGCGCAATCTGCTACGAGACGTTTTGGCACAAGAGTGTCTCGCTGTGGCCGTGCCTACACCTCGCGTGCCACAGCTGCGCCGAGCGCTGGGTCGATCAATTTCGCTTCGAGCAGCACCCGCGTGTGCCGTGCCCGCAGTGCCGCGAGCCGGCGGGCCGTTCTGAAGTGACTCAGATCGCGCCGCGCTCGTCGGACGGAGCGCAACCCTTGAGCAAACTTGAGGCAGCTGCAAAACTCATCGGCGATTTGCTGCGGTCGGGCTCCGAGGAGCGAGTCGTGGTCTTTGGCCAGTGGGCCGGCATGCTTGCCTCCATGGCCAGCACGCTCCTCTCGGCTGGGATCGCGCACTTGTCCCTCGACGCGACATCTTTGCAGGGACGCCTCGACGCTCTCCGGCGGTTTGGAAAGGAAAATGAGCCCCGCGTGCTGCTCCTCTCGAGCGAACGGCACGCTTCCGGGATCAACCTGCAGTGCGCCCGCTACGTGGTGCTGCTGCATCCCCACTGCCCGACCGACGTGCTCGACACCGGCGACCTGCAGCTGCGCTCACTCGCAGAGGCGGCCGCCTACGACGCGCAAGCCATCGGCCGCGTGCGCCGCTTCCCACAGACGCGCGAGGTGGTCGTCTACCGTCTGTACGTGCAGGGAACCATCGAGGAGGAGTTGCTCGCTGCGCAGGGAGTCGTCAGCTAGGATGTAGGAAAACGGCGAGAGGGGCTCTTCCGGAAGACGCGTACGCTCGCTTACCGCTCGCGCCGATCTGGGGTTGGAAGGGGGTGGAAGGGGGGATGCAATGCATGTTGCATGATAGGGGCCCATCGCGCGCGCCCGCGTGAATTAAGATTTGTTTTTTGCTGTGGCCCGCGGGAAGCCTGCTGAACGTTGAACGAGCTTCTCTTTTTGTACGATCGCCTGGTGGGCGCGGTAGAGGTGACTTCACACCCGTTTCACTCGACTCGGCCCCCGCCGTTCATGCTCATCCGTCGTCCGTCCGATGTCTGCATTCCTCCGCCTCGACGCGGCAACCGCCGGATCGACGCCTACTCGCCATGTGCTCGACGCGCGGCTGCTGGGCGATCCGCCCTGCCCTGTTGCTAACGTCGCTGTGCCACGCCACCTCTCCATCGCACGGCACGAGCGCCGCCTCGGCGACTGGGACCCGTCGTTGCACGCCCATCGGAGGCTTTGCGCGGTGAGCAGTGTCTATGTGTCCTGATATGCCCCTCCCACGTCATGCCCCGTTTCTGCGAACCTTTCTACTTGGGGTTCCCCGCTAGAGCCGGAAGATTCTGCGGCTCCTGCCGCTGGCACCCTAACCGTACCTCGTCACATGGCCAGGTGCCGCTCTGGCAAGGGCTTGTACTGCTGCGCAGACCCGCGATGTAACCTGCGGCGCAGCTGCCCGACCAACCTCGGGCTGCTACACTGTGCGTGCCCGGCGGGGTTGGAGCCCGTCTCGTCCATAGGACCGGCCACCCGCGGCAGCAACGCCTCTAGCTTGAGTCTCGTGCCAGGACGGGCCCCAGTGCTGTGCCGGGCCGGTATCTTGCACCCATCCAGCCAGGTCTGCTGCAGCGCCGCATGCGGTAGCGTGTGCGGCGGGCATGGCTGCTCCAAGCGCCCCGGCGGCTCCGTCCAGTGCTGCATGCCCGCCATCTTGCATACAAGGCGTGTGTGTCACGCAGAGGAAGATGTGGGGTGTATCATGCCTCCCCCGTCTCCCCCGCCTCCCCCGCCTCCTCCGCCTCCCCCGCCGCCGTTTCCCCCACCCCCCTCGCCGCCACCTCCACCGCCTCCGCCGCCTGCACCGCCGGTGCTCCCGCGAGACCAAGGCCGAACTCCTTTGAAAGACTCCGGTGTACGCTTGCAAGAGTGCAGCACTCGCTACGCCGCTTGGCTAGACCGTCTGTTCGCGCTGGCCCCCGACCCGCCTTCGTGCCGAACGCAGTGCGAGCATCTCGAGAAGGTGAGGAGCAGATACGAAAATGCGCCGCATTCGATCCTCCTCCGCCACGACAACTCCTCGGGTCGATCCTCCGCGTCCGCGACGAGCCTGCACAGGCGCCCTCTTCCGGGGGCGGCACATCGCGCAAAGGTGGTGGCGGCTATGTTCAACGAGGCGAGGAGACGCGGCGCATTGCCCCCTCATCTGGAGATGATTGTGAGTGTGGCAGACAAGCCGAGGCTCTCGCCACCGCGTGCGCCCCGATTTGGGCTGCCCATCTTTTCGTGGGTCACAGAGTACGGGCTGGGGTCGGGGAATCCTGCAGCGTGGACTGGCGCGCTCCCCTTTCCGACGTGGTTCAACTGGCCCGACCGCTCCACCTTGGCAAAGAGGGTCGTGGGGGCTCCCAGCACGCGGCGCCAGTTCGAAGGTCTACGGCCCGTCCTCTTCTTTCGAGGCAGGTGGAGCTGAATAGTCGAGCAAGCCTAGGGGCGAGAGACACACCATGCTCCGACCCGCTCGACCATGGTCTGCTGCGCTCGCAGGTTTGCAGAAGTGGCATGGAGGTCGTACGGCAAGACGGACAACTGGCGTAACTCCCCCCGCTTCAAGCTGGCAAACGCCACACGCACGCCGGACCGCGCGCTGGACGTGAAGATGACTGGTTTTGCCTTTCTCCCGCCCAACCGGAGCGCGTGGCAACTGAGGCAGGATCTCTTAAAGGCCTACGGGATCAAGATGGCGAGGCCCGAGCCGGCTACGGGCAAGGCGTCGCAGATGTACCTAAGCGTGGTGGGCAACGGCTGGGCGGGATCATCCACGAGGAACGCGCTGCTCTCCGGCGGGTGCATGCTCGCGATCCTCGACAACTCCACCGCGTGGGACGGCTGGAGCAACAAGCTGGGCGAGTCGTACTTCCCATTCCTTCGCCCGGGGGTGCATTACGTCCCCGCCACCTATGACAGCCTCGCGGCCACCGCCAAAGCGCTCCGGCGCGACCCAGCGACGGCTTTCCGCATCGCACAAGCAGGGCTGCGCATGGCCGTCTCGTTCCTCACACGTGAGTGTGCCATCGAGCTGATCCGGCTCCTCTCGTGGCGGTACTGGAGGTGGGCGAAGAGAGGCTGCACTCGAGCCTTTCAAATGGATTCGCGGCTGTGCGGAGGGAAGAGTTGAGAACACGCCCACACGGCGCTCTGCGGCTGCGCATCACCAAAACGGCATAGTGGTTTAGGATAGAGACAGGATAGGTATCCTAGCGTTATCATATCGGACAAGAAATAAAGTAGATGGAGATCCTCAACGGCAAGAGGACTGTCGTAGCTCGTGTAAGGGGTCACAGGCTGACACGAGTCGACTGGATTCGTGTCGTCGTGGTTTCGTATCAAGAGTACTGGTCACTCACACATTCCCTTATTTATTTAGCAGCTGGTGTCCATTCCACTGTTCTTCACCTTCCTAACTTACTCGTACCTGTTCGCTCATCGCTGTTGGGGTGTTGGCTGTTGCTGATTTATGCTGTCAATAAAATTCCACTCCGCAGAAACATTCCACTTCGAAGTCGCACCGGACGGTACCTTACAGGGCACGGAGGCACACGGTCGGGGCACACAGACGCACTCGCGGAACACGGCATTTTACATACGGCTAGCAAAAAATTGCGCTGCCGAAGGGCCGCGCCGCGAAAGTGCGGTGCTAAGTGCGGTGCTACACCGCAGACAGGCCGATGCCTGCTCCGTACGCCTCGCTGATGTACCGCCACGTGGCGGGCTCAGGCTCTTGACCCTGCCGCTCGTACGAGTGGGCGGGCTGGCGCGGCAGTGGCATGAAGCGGTACTGCGCGAGGCCGTAATCGCCCGATGGCAGATCCCACCGCACGCCGAAATCAGACTCGCCGTGCTGTGCGTCGCGCGGCCACGCGTTCCACGCGTCCTCCTCGTCCTCGTCCTCGTCTGATGACCCTCCGTTCGCTCCAAACGCAAGCCCAAACAAGCCACCGCCCATCCGCTGCCGCCGCCGCCGCTCCACCTCGGGCCGGCGTGTCAGCGCGAGCAGCGCGCGCCCGGCGGGGTCCCACGCCAGGTGCTCCACCCTCGCGTTGCCGGTCGCCAGTTCGTGCACGCAGCGGCCCGTGTGGCGCAGGTCCCACAGCCGCACGGCGCAGTCGCTCGCGCCGGTGAAGAGCAGCGGCGTGCCGCCGACGGGGGCAAACGCCATGGCGCTGGTATCGCCGCCTGCCTTGTCGATGAGGGTGAAGCTCGGGCGGCGGGAGGCCACGTCCCACACGCGCACTGTCCCGTCCGAGCAGGCCGAGGCAAGCGTGCGGGGCAACGCCTCTCCACCGGCGGCGAGGCATCCGAGGCACGTCACATGGTCGCAGTCATTGGGCGCGTGACCAAAGAGGCTGCCCGCCGACCGGCCGGCTGCGACGTCGAACAGCGAGACGACCTCCCCTCCGAGGACCCCGTTGCCGTCCGTGCCCCTGCCGTCGAAGCCAATGGCGAGCCAAGCCGGGTTCGAGAGCCAGCAGAGGTGCTCCACCCGCATGCGCGTTGGCCCCGACGCGTGAGAGCGCCAGCGCGAGCTGCTGGAAGAGACGCTGCTCTTCTGGCGTTCGAGGGGCGCCCCAATGTCCCACGTGCCATGCGGCCGCTCGCCCTCGGTCACCTCCATCTCCTCGATGCCCTCCTCGTGGTGGCAAATGCCCTCGGTGTCGGCCACCGAAAGCAAAGCGACGGGGTGCTCGCGCCCAGTGTCCATCGCGTCCGAGCGCAGCGCGTGAGCCCTCGCCGCGCTGTCGTACTCGTACGAGCGGTGCCCCCCTGTGCTCGGATCAAGCGCGTCAATGTTCCACCAGGCGAGTTCCCCGCCTCCCGCGGTGGCCACCAGCAGCCGCCGCCTGCCCACGTCGATTCGCGCCAGGTCGACCGCAACGTGAGGCGTGCCGAACTCGTCGTCGGGCACGTTGCGCAGCGTCGCCACACAGCGGCCACCCGTCGCCCCCGCCTGCATACACTTGATGCGCCCGCCGCAGCCCTCGCTCAGCCACACGAGCGCGCCGCTGTCGCCGTCTGCCGCCGCTGTCGGCTCGACCGCGCAGGCGCGGGCACCTGCCGAGAAGCCCACGCGGCGGAAGGCGCCGCCGCCCTGGAGCCCGAAGGCGCGGCGCTCGACGGCCTGCTCCTCGAGCGCCTGCCTCGCCGCCGAGCCCGCGAGAGGGCCATCCTGACCGCCACCGAGGAGCTGCGACAACTCGTCGGCAGAGGCGTGCTGCACAATCGTTGAGGCGGCGTGCTGCGCGAGGCTCGAGGGCGGCGGAGGCCGCACAGAGGTGAGCACCGATGCCCACGCGAGGCTCCCCTTGTAGCCGGTGCAGCCGGCGAGCGCAAGCGCGCTGCCGCTGAGGCTCATTGCATTGAGTCGGAACTGATGCCGGTAGCCCCACAGCGGCTCTTCCGACGCTGGGTCGCTCCGCACCTCGCACCTCGCCTCGACGATCCACTGCGCCACCCCCTCAAGCGGCGTCGCGTCCGCCGCGGGCATTGACGTGTCGAAACGGCTCAGCGCTGTGGAGTGCTCGCTTGCGCGCTCGGCTGCCGCTCGCGGCGCCTCCTCCGCGCGCCTTGCCTCCATGGCCTCGGCAGCTGCGGCGAGGCGAGCATCTAGTGTCTCCTGCGTGACCTCCTCGCCGCAGCCTGTCATCATGCGGTACATGCTGAGGCCTTCGGGGCCCATGAACAACTCGAGGCCTTGGCCAATCTCGCGCTTCTCGCCATACCCGAGGCTGCTGCGCACGAGTCGAGAACCGTCGAGCAACCGCCCTTCCTCGGTCGGCGACAACAGGAGCTTCTGGAGGTCGACTTGTCGTTGCTCGGCAGCGGCGACGAGCGCGTCCCAGGCCTCCCAAGTCGGACTCGCGAAGCAGTCCAGCGCAAGAGCGGCCACCTCCTCGACCCTGGCCTCGGCCTCGGCTTCCGAATCGTGATCGTTGTCGTCGTCGAAAGAGCGGCGCGTCTCCATGGCCCAGCGGGGCCAGTCCCAGAGGCAATGGATTTCTTTATCGCGATGTCTACCCCGCCGCGGAGCCGCTCGCGCCTCGCCGCCTCGCCGCCGCCACCTTCCAGCCTCGAGCTCGTAGGTCCTGATTGATTGATTGATTGATGGGAAGGCGAAACACAGTCCGACCAACGACTGGGACACCAACGCGGTATGGGTGGACGCAGGACGGGCGATGACGGTCACACAGGAGCGACACACAGGTCCTACGAGGTCGCACCTACGAGCTCGAGGGCTCGTACCGAGCCCCGTTACCCTGCTCGTAGTTTTGCTGTGCAGCCAAGTCGCACGCGCGGACTTGCTCTGCAGCACGTTCGCCGCCTTCCAGTGGATCTCGCTAGAAAGAAAACTACGTAGCGAAAAAAAAAGTCGACCCCACGCCATGTATATGCGCGACAGCGCCGCCCGCCTCCTCCTGCTCCTCTCCGAGTACCACCCGCTCGTGATTGAGGGCATGGGCTCCTACGACGCGCGTGCTCCCGGCACGGTCGCAGCCACTGTGAGCCGGCTGCTCAGGCAGCGGTGGGAGGCCTCGCCGCCCGGCAAGCCCGTCATCCTCGTGACTCAGGGCGACCCGCTCGCTGCTCGCGGCATCTCGGCAATCACAAGGGCCGTCGCCTCGGAGCTGTCGCTGCCGCGCGCGCTCGTCTGCCTCGACGACTCCATCGACCCGAGCCATTCGAGAGACGCCGACCGCGACGGCGTAATTCTCGAGCTCCGCTACTCGATGCTCGCGGGCGTGCTCGAGCCGCCGGGCGCAGCGCCGGCGAGCCTTGCAGCGCTGACGCGTGCGGTCGACTCTTCCCTCGCGGCGAAGAATGCGGCGCGCGAGGCGGAGGGCAAGCCGCGGCTAAAGGAGTACTACCGGGACTATGCCTTGCTGCAGGAGGTGACCAAGGCGGCGCTGAGGGCCGCCTGCGGCGGTGTCACCGTGGCTCACACGGCCGAGGAGATCAGCCCCTTCTCCGTGACCTCGTTCTACGAGGCGGGCCTCGCGGTGGGTGCCGTAAACGAGTCGGACATGGTGCGTTTTACGAGCGAGCGAGAGTGCGCTCGCGAGAGATAAGTGCTTGGTTCGCAGCAGCGAGTTTGCTATAGAAGTACTAATAAGTCCGTTCTCCCATGAAACATGCCATGATACCGCCACGTCCATCGCCTGGTCTGCGAATCGGCTCATCAGCCACAGGAGGACAGCGTGTGTCCGAGTGCTGCATATAGACCCATCTAGAGACAGACCGAGGTAGGTAGGTAGGTAGAAAGGTGAAGAACAGCCAGGCTCGGACTGGACACCAACGCGGTATGGGTGGACGCTGGACAGATGATGACGGCACGCACGAGCGACACACAGACACAAACAAGCTCACAAGACCGAGGGCCATATCAGTCTTGATAACAAGTACGGTCGATCCGTCAAAGCGATACACTCGTCACGATTTGGACGGCTTGCACAGAGCTCTGTGCCGGCACGCATCAGGAAGACCGCCGTACGGCAAGAAGAGCTCGATGGGGAGCGAGAACCGTCAGAGGTGCTCACGGAGGTTTCGGAAGTCCGCCATGATGCGGTCAGTTCCCACCAGGTTTGACTGCGTAGGTCGCGGAACTCGTTGAGTACTCGCAGCCTTTCTGCGCCTCCGTCTGGGCATATCGGCTGCTCGGCAAGAGCAGTCTTTCCGGAAGATATCGACGATTTTCGAGAGCCACCCGCTTGGGAGCGATTGAGCGCGTCACGGAGGACTTCAGGTTACCCTTGAAGCTCCTCTGACGGTTCTCGCTCCCCATCGAGCTCTTCTTGCCGTCGGCTCTTCCTGTTGCCGGCACAGAGCTCCGTGCCAGCCGTCCAACGTGATAGGAACGAGTGTATCGCTTCGACGGATCGACCGTGCTTATTATCAAGACCGATGTGACGTACACAGTGACACATCAGACGACACATGCTCTCCCACCCGCCGGGTCGCAAAACGCTCTCGACGAGAGCCACAAGAAGCCGTCCACACAGCAAGCCGCTCGTCGGACAGGCGTGCTCGCTTGATGTCGGCGAGCGCATTGCGCACGCTTTGAACGGTGGCGAAGCCAAAAACACCGATGGTGGCCGTCCGCTGGCGTATGCGGCGGCGATCGGTCCCTAACCTGTCGCGGTCCCTAACCCAAAAGTGGTCCTTCGCGCTTTGGTCCCTAACCAAAAAAGCACGATGGTCTGAAGTTGGGCCCTCAGACCGCAGACTGGCAGACATTTTGAACGAGTGGGCGGGCAGGCTGTCTGTTTACAGGCGCCGTCCGCCCGCGCGCGCGCCGACCCAACTCCGAGCACGCTCGCTCGCCGCTGGGCGGCGCGCGTCCACACTGCGTCGGCAACACGACGCAGGAGCTCGCTCACTGCTGCTGCGGCGGCGGCAGCGACGGCGACTGCGAGCTGACGGCTGACGGCTGTACGGCTGTACGGCTGACGGCTGGCGGCTGGCGGCTGCGGCGAACGGCGACGGCTCGGTTCGCGTTCGCCCCGCGACGGTGCGACTGAGCCTGCCGCGCTCGATCTGGGAGCCACTCGGCGCCAGTTCGAGCGGCGGTCGGCTCGGCCACTGCGGGTGCGACGCATGATAGAGCTGCTGGGCGCCGCATCGTGTACTACCGACCCACGCCAAGGCGCGGGGCGGTGGTGCTCGCCGGCGCTCGCGGTGCTTCGGTGCTCGAGCGCGCTCAACATTGTGGTCGTTCAGGGCGGCTCGCACAGCGCCCGCAGGCACACACACACACACACACACACACACACACACACACACACACACACACACACACACACACACACACACACACACACACACACACACACACACAGCCCCTTCCCCTTCCCCTTCAAGGGCGAGGACACGCGCAGGGGCCGCACCTCTAGCGAAGCCCACAGAGTGGGAGACTCCTATCACCGCCCTGCCACCCACGTGAGCCTTTTGGCCGCCTCTGTCAGTGTGCCCGTGGTAGTGAGAGACTGCTGGTGAGAAGCCGGAGGAAGGTCGCTAGTCGAGAGAGATCGCCAGTGGAATAGGGAGTCCACCGTGCTGCGAGCCTGTCGCTGTCCCTTGTCAGGAGCAGGTGAGAACTAGGAGAGCGCAACCAGTAGGAGGCCCGCGCCTGCCCCCGTGCCGCCGGGTGCAACCTGTCCTATACGAGAGAGGAATCCCTGGGACCCTGTCGTGTGGGTGAACCCTGCCCAGCCCCCCTCCGTGTCGCGATGCGCTCCCCGCTCCCGTTCCCCTGTGTCCCTGATCGTCCTTACAAGATCCTGCTCGTGCAGGTGGGGACCCTGTCCTTCTCCCACCCCTCGTTTGGCGTGCCCGTTTTATTTATTTATTTATAGACCGCTCTCGGTATAGTCTCGTCTCATACTAGCACCCCGCACCACGCCAGCCGATCTTCTTATCCACTGAGGTTGTTGCGGGGCACCCGGCGCCCATATTCCGCAAACTGCGTCGAACGATCGGATGGCGATTTCTCGCAATGGCTCTGCTCACGCTCGTCGTCCTCGCACTTCCCCCGCCAGCGCTGGCCCTGCCGCGATTTGGCGGCGTTATCATGCGTGCCGGGCGGCCTTTCGAGCGTGCGCGGGCGGATGATGAGGACGACAACCCGATGGCAGCGGCGCTCGAGGCGTTCGGCGGCCCAGCTCAAGCCTCGCGACCGGAGCGCACGGCCGCGTCCAAGGCGCGCTCGCCGTACGGGCGGCGGCGCATCCCGAGCGAGCGCCCGCAAGCGCGCCGCACGCCTCGCGGCCCGCTGCAGGGCGCGCTTGGCCGGCGCGAGGAGCCGGCGCGGAGGAGGGCGCGCGACGGCAGGCCGCGGTGGTCTGGAGGAGAGGAGGCGTGGGCGGACGGCGCCTCCCTCGACGCGCGGGTTGATCGGGAGAGCCGCCAGCTCCACGAGTCGGACGGGATGGAGTCGAGCCGGCTGGCGGGCCCGCTCGTCACGCTCGCGCCGACTCGCGTGATGCTGTTTGTGGACGCGTCGTGGCTGTACTACTCGGTCTTCGAGGGGGGCAAGAACTGCCCGATCGCCGCCGCCTACGGGCCCGGCTGGACCGCCACCCACCACGTCGACTGGTCGATGCTCCCTTCCCTCGTCTCGGTCCCAACGACGGGTTTCAACCTGGCGCCAAAGCAGTCGCTCTTCACGCGTCCACCCGTGAACAGGACCACATCTCGGCGGAGCTGCTGCACCTGCAGCCCGGCCTGCCGCGCGCGGTGGAGGTGGTGCGCGTCCACGTCTACTCCTCCCTCCGCACCGGACAGCCAGTCAGCGAGGCGCGAGATAGCCGAGATCCAGCCGAGGTCTGGCCGAGGGCCGGCATCCAGCCGAGAAGAGGTTTGGGCAGAGAGCGAGGCGTGGCGGAGGCTCCTCCCTTTCCCCCACCGCCCCGCGAGTGCGTGTGCGGCCCCGGCCCGCGAGGCGAGGTTCGACGAGATGCTGACTAGTGATCAGCAACTGAGTGGTTCACAGGCCCGCGAGGCCATGTTCGACGAGATGCGGAGGCTGCACTACGACGTGCACCTTGGCTCCTTCATCAATAGTTAATTAATAGTTAATTAATAGTTAATTAGGCTGCACTACGACGTGCGCCTTGGCTCCTTCATCAATAGTTAATTAATAGTTAATTAATAGTTAATTAGGCTGCACTACGACGTGCACCTCGGCTCCTTTGACGGCAGCCGCGAGAAGTGCGTCGACATCGCCCTCGCGGTGGACATGCTGCACTACGCCACCGTCCCCGGCGCCTTCGACGTCGCCGTCCTCGTCTCGGGCGACGCAGACTTCCTGCCCGCGCTCGTGCGGACGCGGCAGCGCGGCAAGCGCGTCGCCATCTGCTCGCTGCGCAACTCCGCCTCCTCCTCCTTCGAGAACGCCGAGGCGTCGCAGCTGCTCGGCTTGGTCGCGGACGGAGAGGCGCGAGAGATCGGCCCGCCCTCTCTGTCGTCGCGACGCCGCGTCACGAGCCGGCCCGCGGGCGGCGTAGGCGCGCCTCAAGGACTTTGACGTCCTCTGGCTCGACGACCACGTGACGAAGCTCGTGACGCCGCTGCACCCGACCCTGCGGCGGCAGCGGCCGGCGCTGCTCTGCTGGCTGCGCGACGCGCTGCTCGGGCACGTGAGTGAGCTCGGCGGCGCCGCCTCGGAGGAGGAGGTCTCCCTCTTCCTCTCGCAGATCGGGCTGGGCGAGTCGAGCGCGCTCGCCTTTGTGCGGCACGAGTGCGGCTCCATCGGCGCCTTCCTCGACGAGCACTGCGCCGGCCAGCTGACGATGCGCCGCATGATGGGCACCGCCGTCGTGCAGGCGCGCGGAGCGACGCCCGCCGCCATTCGCGACGCGAGGAGAGGGCGCGACGCGGCGGGCGGCAGCGACGCCGGCGCTGACGCCGACGCCGACGCCGGCGACCTCGGGGAGGCGCTGCTTGCAGCGCAGTCGCTGCTCGACGACGACGACTGAGGCGGTCGTCGTTTCTCGTGTGATAAATTTGGGGGTTGAATCCACTACGTTTTACAACCCGTCCGCCGTCCGGGTGTGGACCCACTGTCTCACAGGGCAACCACACCAGCCGGCACCGGGCACCGCGACCTCCCCCCCCGCTCGCAGTGTGTGCACACGCGGGGCCTGCGACCCCCCTGCGAGCGCGGGCACACACGCCACACACACACGCGGGACGCGGCGCGTGGAATGCGAACGAGAATATGTGCAATCTCGGCGGTGACGGTCGGCTCGGCAGGGGCGCGCCCAGCTCCAGCTCTGAAAGGAAACGGTTGTAATTGCTCCAACGTCCAAGTTCTCAATTACCCGGTACCCCTACCCGAGAGATTAAGTGTGGATGATCTTGCAAAAACGTTCCGCGAGGGACGACACCACAGCACTCGCACGAGGCGACGAGGGGTAGGCTCTTGGCACTTGCCCATTGTGTGCACACACAACACCACAGCGACTACATCTATATCACTCACCCACACACGCTACAGTATGGCTATGCCCACGGTCTCGCCGCTATCGCTCCTCTGCTCGCCAGCTCTACCGCTACCTCGCCCACGACTGTACCGCAGCTCGCCCCCGCCGCACGGCACGCTCGAGGTGCTCGCTGGGCGGGGTGTCGCGCCAGCCGTCGGCCTGGAGCAGAAACGTGGCACTCGCGCCGCCGCCGCCCGCCGATGAGCCAAAGGCGGACCTCTCCTCGCGCGCCACCGCAACCTCGCGCGCCTCTCGGCGGCCGCAGTGCTCGCAGTACGTGTCGACCCGCTCCCTCCCCTCGCCCGTCGCCGTCGCGCCGGCGAGCGTGGTCGTCTCGCTCCGCTCGCAGCGGCAGTGGCACGAGGCGCACGTCTGGTACCTTGTGGACGCGTCACGGACGCGTCAGCAGGCGTGCCATGGACGCGCCGAGGGCGGCGGCGGTGCGAGCAGAGTGGAGGCGGAGGCGTCGACAGGCTAGATATGGCAGGGAGCAAGGCAGAGTCAGACCGTGGTGGGGAAGGGCGGGCGAGGGCAGGGGGCGTCTCAGAAGAGTGTCTCGGAGGAGTGTCTCGCACCGCCCCGTCTCCACCGCAAGGACTCGCTCCGTGTGGCAGCGCGGGCAGCGGAGCAGGCCGAACACGACGGCGCCGAGCCGCCGCTCGTCTCGCTCGCACGGCGACAGGGCGGCGAGGCGCGAGTCGGGCGCCAGCAGCCCTTGGCTCGCCGCCTGGAGAGGGGTCGGCTCCGAGGCGCCGTCCAGCTCGGATGGCACCCGCTCCATTGTCACCGCCTCGTCTGCAGGGCACGACGTGCAGCGCCGCCGCCTCCGGTCCACCTGCGCGACTGAGCGGGCGTCTGTGGGAGCCCGGCAAGCCCCGTGCTACCCTTTGGCCCACCTCTGGAACTCGCGCCGCAAGGCCGCAAGGCTATCTCGTCCGCAAGGCTGTCTCGTCCGCAAGGCTATCTCGGCCGCCCCTCGCTTCTCTCTCTCGCTTCTTTCTGGCCCGCCTGGAACTCCCACGTCGCAAGGCCGGCGGCGGCCAGGGCGAGGGCGCCAAGGGTCACCGGAGGCGCGCCCGCCGCACCGCTGCCGTCCTCGCCCTCCTCGCCGCCTTGGGCGAGGCGGTCCCGGATGCACTCGGTGGCAGCCTCCACGCCGCCGCTCACGTCTCCCTCCCTCAGCCGCGGCGCCATCTCCTGCTGCAGCATCGACGCGAGCCACGTGTCGCTCAAGGCTCTGCGCGCGCCGACGCCGGTGCGGGCCTCGATGCGACGCGACTCGGTGAAGACCGCGAGCAGCACTCCATTCTGAGCCGCCGCCTGGCCGACGCCCCAGAGATCGTACAGCGCTGCTGTGAACTGGGAGTGGTCCTGCACTGACGCAGTCTCATCTCCCAGCCGCTCGAGAACGACCAGAGCCATCTGCGCCTTGCCCGTGGCGTCAAGCGCCGATAATCGGCCCTCCAAGCGCGCACGCGACTCGGCCGAGAGCACGCGTCCCGCGTCCGAGACAAACCCGCTCGGAGGCCGAGTGACGTCGGACGGCGATGTCGGCCGCGTGGAGAGGAGGCGCCGGCAGCGAGCGCCATGCGCGAGGCGGTGGGTGGTTGTGGGCCACAGCGCCCGCATGGAGTGAGCGAGACAGTCGACTCGCGCCCAGTGGACGATGACCAAAACTTTTTTTTCGGGTCGAGCGCCGCCTCGCCGTCCTCGCGGGAGTCGCTTAGTCGGCTCCCGTGGTGTAATATGGACTTAGAAGTTCCCACACAGCCCAGTCGTGATGCCCACGACGGCCGAGAGCAGGTCTACGCTCACCCACGCCCATCGGTCAAAGAGGTTAATTCGTTATAACGCGCGACGCGTGCAGCGTGCAGCCCGATCAGTGGGCAGTTGGAGCCGTACGCTTGCGCGGTGTGGCTCACACAGAGTGCGAAGACGAGCTCGTCCTGCTCCATCACAAATCCAGCGGCATACCGGGGCTCTGGCAGAAGAGTAACCTTCCTTCCCGTGAAATCCCTGTGTGGTGGCGGTGTGCCGTCCTCCCATCCCTCCTAACCCGCTCCTTTGGGTTCCATGTTTTCTTTCTTTCTTTTTTAGCGGGGCTATCCAGAGAGATGGAGAGAGAGATGTGACAAAGATCATCAATCAAGAATCACAAGGACTGGTTCGCGCACCAGGAGCTCGTCAAGGCGCGGGATGTGCACGTCAAGAACAACCCGTCCCTCAGAGACAGTCAGTGCCGTCAGCAACCGCGAAGCCACGCGCCTCATCTCCGCCACAACGCCTTTCGCCGGCAAGGCCTTCGATGTCCGTGTCGACGGTACGTACGCCACCGCCCTCTCCTACGACACCCTCCAGGACGAGCTCCAGCGGAAGCTCGGCCTTTGGCTCTCTGCGGCGCTTCCCACCCTTCGGGTCGCGCTCGAGCGGGGCATGCCAGTCGATTTCTTCGGCGACTACCTTTACAACAAGGCCCACCACCGGCCGGCCGCCCCCACGACGGCGTCCTCGCCGCCTGGGCGGACGCAATGCGCGCCCCGGCCAACGCGCCGGTCGTGCACGGTGACAAGGAGAAACCAGAGCTCACCCGGCAGTACAATGAGGGGTACAAGGTCGACCTCGCAGAACCCCATGCAGGGCCGGGGGGATGCGATGAAGTGAATGAAGTCAAGCTCTGGACGCCCCTCCTCAAGACCTCCTCGACGGGCGTTGGCAACGCCTCGAGCGGCGGCACGCCCGCCTCCGTTGGCCACTCCTACGCCTTCGGCAGCACCGAGGAGAAGGCCCGCCGCCTGAACATGGGCTGCAAGGCGCGCGGGCAGCCCGGCCAACCCTTCTCCCACAAGAACGGCCACGGCTACGTCAAGGCGCATCGCGGTTTCTACCATGACGCGATCTTTGTCAAGCGCAACAACTTCAACCTGCTGCTCCACGAGACGTTCGGCGGCGGCTTCTCGCCCACCGCTGTTCTCAAGCTGCGCCGCCTCGCGCGCAAAGTCGCGCGCGGCGGCGTCGACCGCACGCACGCCGCACGGCCTACTCGCCCAAGTACTCGCTCTCTTTTATGTCCCACCATGCAGAGCGCATCTCTCTCTCTGTTGTGCGAGGCGTGAACCGCGCCATTCGCTCTCACCTGGCAACCCTGTAATCTGCACGTCTCGCGCGCGCGTGAAAAGAAAGGGCTCCACGCCCCAAAATGATGTGTGAGTGTTAGAGTTGTTTGGTATTGCTAAAAATCACGAGATGTCAGGGCTCCAGGCCCCAAATGTGTTGTGTAGGGCTAGGTTTTCTCTTTTGCGCACGACACTGGTAAAATTCTCTTTTGCAGTGCTGCGCAGGTGCCGCTCTTAGCACGCAGCAATGCACGAAGCAGCTTCATTCTGTGTGCTGGATTGTAGCCTCTGTGTGCACCTCGCCACAGCGGTGCTATAATGGTGCGCATCACCGCCAATGCTCTCGTCACCATCGCATCCGAGCCGTCGCGCTCGCACGCTCGCGACCTCGTCATCCTGGGCCACCTTTTGGCTTCGCGGCTCAAGCGCGACGGCGCCATCAGCGCTGATTCCGACTTCGCCTTGGTTTGGCGTGACGCTGTCGTTCCCATCGCGGCTGCTAGCAGGCACATCGTCGTCGCCCTCGCCACCCTACCAATGCCTTCGCCACTCCTTCCCGCCACCCTCGCCGCTTCCCAGGACCGACTGGCAGGTGGGCATGTGCGCGGAGCTGCACGGCCTGACGATGGCGGCTGGCCAAGCCTTCAACAACGTTGTCGGGAGGGTTTCCGGCAAAGGCACGGCAAAGCACGGCCAGGGGTGGGAGCTCGTCGTGAGCACGCCCGACGGCATGCGCAGCGTCAACGTCCACACGGCGAACCTCAAGGCGACCGCACGGCCCTCTGCAATCATCTTCCTCTGGCGCCACCTCCCCCTCGCGGTCAACCCATACGCGGCGGTGCTCGAGGCGCGCCTGGCGCGCGAGGCTGGCGGAAAGGGCGGCGCGCTGCCCGTGACGGTCCTGTCCGGCTTCCTCGGAGCCGGCAAGACGACGCTGCTCAACCACATGCTCAACAACCGCGAGGGCCACCGCATCGCGGTGAGCTCTCTGAGCCGAACCCGAACCGCAGCAGTCCGACGCCTGCACCCATCTCATCCAGGTGGTGGTCAACGACATGGCCTCGGTCAACGTCGACGCCGAGCTTGTGCGGCAGGGAGGCGTTCTCAAGAAGGAGGAGAAGATGATCGAGCTCTCGAACGGCTGCATCTGCTGCACGCTGCGCGAGGACCTGCTCGCGTCGCTCTCCTCGCTCGCGGCCGAGAACCGGTTCGACCACATCCTCGTCGAGTCGTCGGGCGTGTCCGAGCCGCTCCCCGTCGCCGAGACCTTCACCTTTCACGACAAGACCACCGACGTGAGCCTCAACGACGTCGCGAGCCTGCACAACCTCGTCACGGTCGTCGACGCCGCGTCCGTCTTCGAGCAGCTCGACACGATGGACACGCTGGTCGACCGCGGATGGCAGGCCACCGAGGGCGACCAGCGCACCGTCGCGCACCTGCTCTGTGACCAGCTCGAGTTCGCCGATCTCCTCCTCATCAACAAGTGCGACCTCGTGAGCGAGGCGCAGCTCGGCGCGATCGAGACCTTCCTGCGCAAGGTCAACCCGACGGCCGAGCTGGTGCGCACGGAGCACAGCAAGCTCCCGCCGGCGACGCTGCTCGGCACGGCGCGCTTCAGCATGAAGAAGGCCGAGGAGCACCCGCAGTGGCTGGTCGAGGCAGCGAGAGTAGCAGAGATTAGGGCTCTCAGGAAGCGGGGATTGAGCAGAGATGGCGGCCCAATCAGGCGAGAGAGCACGAGCACACGCCCGAGACGGTCGAGTACGGCATCTCCTCCTTCGTCTTTCGCGCAAAGAGGCCTTTCCACCCGGAGCGCATTCGCCGCCGTGGCCGAGCTCCTCGTCCCTGACATGTCCCTGACAGAGGTCCTGCACGTGTCCCACAGGAGCGCCTGTTCGCCGCCATGGCCAGCCGCCCGCGCCAGGGCGCGCTCGCCGGGCTCCTGCGGCTCAAGGGCTTCGCCTGGCTCGCGACGCAGCCCAACCGGCAAGCGCACGCGGCGCTCGCGGGCACGCAGTTCACGCTGTCGCCGGGGCCGCCCTGGTGGGTGTCTATCCCTCGCGCGCAGTGGCCCGAGGGCCTGGCCGAGGAGTTCCAGGCGGAGGAGGCGGCGGCGGAGAAGGCCAAGCACGAGATGTACCTCGCGGAGCAGGCGGAGCAGATGCTGGCGGCGCAGCTGGCGGCGCCCCCGCCGGCGGAGCATGCGCTCTACTACTACAAGCGGGCGCACCGCGCGGCGACGGAGGAGGCCAACCCCGAGGCGGACCCCGCGGCGCTCGTGCAGCTGATGGAGGAGCGCTTCGAGGCGCTCACGGCGGAGGAGCGCGCGCCCTTCGAGGAGAAGGCGGCGGACGAGCAGCAGCGGACGAGCGCGCTGGCGGCGGCCCTGCAGCTCGCGCAGCGAGACGCGACGCCGTACAGCCCGTGGGACGCAGAGCACGGCGACCGGCGGACAGAGCTCGTGTGCATCGGCCGCGAGCTCGACGGCGAGGCTGCGAGCGCGCAGCTGGAGGCGTGTCTGCTGACGGCCGACGAGATGGTGCTCCTCAAGGAGGAGGGGTGGGGCTGGCTGCCCGACCCGTTCGCGCCCTCGTGGCTCAAGGCGCTGGGGCACGGCGGCGCCGAGCACGCACATGACCACGCGCACGGCGGCCCGACCGACGCGCTGCTGGGCGGCATGGGTGGCGAGATGACGGAGGCGAACCTGCGGGGCGTCATGGAGGTGGCGAGCAAGCAGGCGGCCGCTCCGCTGCCCCCTCTCCCCCCTGCTCTCACCGCCCCCGTCGCACGCGCTGCCGAGCCTTTGACCCCTTGCTGATCGGACACCGGCACCGGCAGGGCCTGCCGACCGACTACTTCCTCGGCTTCCTCTTTGAGGAGCTGCTCAACGAGAACGCCGCCAAGCAGATCAAGCAGTGCGCGCCGGCGCTCCGCGAGCTCTTTGCCGCCTCCCCCGACAAGCGCCGCACGCAATGGACGATCCTCGAGGGGGTGGTCAACCTGGTCACCTCGCCCAAGCACCCGAGCTGGCTGCTCAAGAAGACGCCCGTGATCCTCATGGCGCTGTGCGCGCCGCCCCCGCCCCCACCCGACCGCCCCCGGCCCGGCGTCTCGTTCTGCACACGCTGTGTGCCCACACGAGCAGGTACGACATCGGCCTTCTGGAGGAGAATGTGGTCGTCCTCTGGTCGCGCTTCTGCGGTGAAAAGTACGAGGCGGACAGGAAGGTTCGCGACGCGGCCGCTCCGTTCATCAAGTG